AGCAGGAAGTTGTTATGTAGGTATGTGTATCATGAGCATGTTGAGATCATGTGCACGAGCCTCCCGTTGACTAATCTAAAGCTGTCAGCCACTAATTATAGCAAATAGTAAAAACATTTTAAAAGCAAAAGCAGCTGTGTTAACCACAAGAAAATCCCAAATCCTTAGGAAGGCAATACCTATTAAGCCAGCTGAAAGTCTGCATAATAATGGGCTAGTTTCTGAGTTCCTAAGAATTCAAGTCATAGGCAAGATGACTACAAATCCAGTGGAGAAAAAAGAAAAAAGCTAGCACTCAAGGCATGTTTGTTCTATTTGATGTTTGTGTGTGTGTGTGTGTATACACGCACAGACACAGACACACACAGTTTCCCATGTTGTCATCTTGAAGTGGTGTGTAAAGACCCAATAAAAATGATTCAATAGCAACCAATAAATTGCAAATGGTTAATATTAACATACCACCAATGCATTAAAGAAATATAAGGGTGGAACTTTAATCCATAATACAGGTAGTTCTCATTTAGCAACCACAATTGTGACCGCAACTTGGTTGTTAAGCAATGTGGTCGCTAAGTGAAACCATGACTGTGCTTACAATCTTACTTCAGCTTTCCTTTACTTTACAGACCTGTGAAGGTCGTAAACGTGAGGATTGGCTGTAAAGTTATTTTTTTCATCACTGTTATAACTACAAATGGTCACTAAATGATGCAGTTGCTAAATGAAAACTATCTGTATTTGCACTAGGACAGGCCTGGGTGAAGAAGTAAGTTTTCAATGGGGACCAAAAGGACTGGAGAGCAGAGACTTCCTAGGTTTCAAAGCAAAGCATTCCAGAGACCTGCCAGCCCCACAGAGAAAGCTCATTTTGAGTGACTGCAAGATGACATTTTGTAGTCACAGCACATGCAGCAGGACAGCCTCTGATTATTTTAATGACTCTCCAGGTCTGTAATGTTATGTGTTATATCCTGGTCCCAAGTTGCTTTGGGCATTATATGCTTGACAAGGCTTGGTAGCTGACTATCAACCATGCATGGTCAGGTGTCCCATTCAGTCACCTGGCTGCCACATTCTGTACAAGCTGCACCTTTCATAACAAGCACAAGGGTGTCACCCTGATCAGGGGTGGTTTAATCCAGTTTGTGTGAATTGGTGTTTAATTATTCTGTTTCCTCTGAGGTAGACACTGAGGTCCAGCAGGGTGAGGCTGAGTAGATACCTCATAGTAGCAGCAGCAGCAGCAGACCCAAGCTCCTCATATTTGCATTCTCCCTGCTTTGTGCCCCTCTCTGGCCACCACCTTTACAACCATGGCCCCCAGTGGAGTGTGCACAGCTGTGGCTCAGAAACAAGGCTGATCCAGTTCTCTGCTAGGCAAGATCCAGGCTGGGAGTCCAGAGGGCTGGCCAATTCCAGAGGTGAATTAGGATGTGCAGAGGTAGGACATGAAGGGGAACACCATGACTGGCTAAGGAAGTGGGAGAACAGAGGAAATAGTCAGTTCTAAGCCATTTGGGCTTCCAAATGCAGTTTATTAAATTAGTGATAAGTGTGTTGGCATGTCTTGATTATTAACTACTTTGCTATTGCTCATTTTGAAGGGCTAGCATGATGAATTATCATCATTAGAACTTGGTTGTTGAAATGGTCATTGATGCAAGTAACTGAAGAATTTGGTTTCTTTTCCGAATACAAAATCAGTGAAGAGAAAACAAAGATAATAGCAAGCCATTTAATTTCTGAGGAAGAAAAAATTGTGAACATAAGGACTGGCTATGAGATAACAAAAAACCCAGTGAAATATTTCGGACTTTACTTGATGGATTGCAATAGGCGTATTTCAAAGCAACTGCAATAAGTTATGGAAAAAAAGAAAACAAGACCTTGAAAGGTGGAAAAGCTTAAAACTTTCCTGGCTAGGACTTCTAGTGACAATAAAAATGAATGTATTATCCAAGACAAACACCCATGACCCTGATAATCTTGATCCCTAGTGGCTTCAGTAGATGGAAACTGTATTATACTACCAGTTGATTTCCAGGTACAATTATAATTTTCATGGTTCAGGGCCTGGATCTCTGTGGGACCACTTTTCTCTCAATGACCTCTTCCTGCCCAAAAAGACTAAGTAGAGGAGGCTGTCCGTGCCCCTTGCTGCCAACTCCTGGGGGTGCAGAAACATGTCTTCCCTATTGCTATCCCAATGCTATGGACACCATTCCTCTAGACCAGCAGTTCTCAAACATCTTGGTCTTGGGAACCCTTTGCATTCTTAAAAATGATTGAGAACCCCAAAGAGCTATGCTTTATGTGGGTTATATCTTATCAGTATATACTGTATTAGAAATTAGAACTGAGAAATGTTAAAATATTTACTTATTTGACTTCGCAGACCCTCTGAAAAGGTCTCGGGGAAGGTGGTGTATTTTGCCAATTCTGTCTTATTCCTCGATCTTATACAAATGATTTCATTGGTTATGTTGAATGGTTAATCTAATGCAGTGTTTCTCAACCCTGATGGCTTTAAGATGTGTGGACTTCAACTCCCAGAATTCCCCAGCCAGCATGG